AAGAGTTTACTGACATGCGTAGTCCCACAGAAATTATTTGACTTATTGGTCTGTAAAGCTGTTCACACATATGAATTTCTATGATCAAACCCATAACCACCTGCGGCCGCAAATTACTGAGGTTGACCCTCAATGTTCAGTTTAGTTGAAACAGAGTTTCATTTTAAGACTGGCTCTCCAAAAGCTTCTACTAGCATTAAATTAAACTCCATCAGCATTATTTTTTTCAGGCAGCTTTAAATCATAACAATAACTTTTTAAAATTTCTTATGCTGATATCCACCTTCAAGAATGAGGCTAAGTTAAAATTAACATCAGCTCTTAAAATCCATAAGAACTTGATCCATCGTTTCTCAATTTTCTTTTCTGAAGAATTCAATAAAAGTGCTGTAACCAAATCACAAGCAGCACTGAGACACACATAAGTGCATATGAAGAAAATACTTGTTCCTACTGAATTTTAAAGCCATTCTTATTTGCAAGTTATAATCCCATCAGATAACATTTCTACTATCTCTGGGTCTCTGGGATTTTAAGGCTATGTTGTCAGACATTCCTCCACAAATGAATATATATATGTGTGTATATACATATGTATTTTTATAAAGTATATTTTCTCATAGCAATTTTTCATTCATTTTCATTTATTCAACTAAGAAGAGGAAATAAAAACAGATGAGTAATGGTGCTCAATGTACACTCAACTACTACTACTTTTTTCTCATGGGTACAAGCAGTACAAAATGTCCTCATTTTAGATGAAAGGGCTCATAGACTTCTCTCATTTCCCATGTTCTTTTTTATTTTCTCCCCCTCTAAAGTTCCCGAAGACAAATACTATAAAGCACATAGAAAATATGCTGACATTTCAAGAAGTAATACATATTTCACCTATGAACCTATAGTTTTGTGATATGTTTTCCTTATGTCCCTGACTAAATTCTGGAGCTGAGGGGTAACTGTTGCTTGCTACATCACCAGGTCTCTCTTGCACTACCATGCTTATCTTCTTCTAGTCATCCAAAAAGCACTAGAATTTCGTGCTCATACCCTGTTCCTTTTTTAGGGGGGAGGATAAATTGTGCTGCCTGTCTTCTAACTTATGTCTTCTGAAAGAGAACTACCCATCAGCATTCTTTAGTATCCCATGCAAATGGCAATAAAACATGCAAAAGGTGGC